TGTTTAAAATCTATGAACATCTGATGAAGCTCACGATCAAACATTTTTCCATTTTCCAGCATTTTTCCATTATCTGTTTTATTGTTAATATCTGGTCAATTGTAGAGCGGCCCGGTCTAAATCCGCATTGATAATCTCCAACGATTTCTTCTGTGTATGTTTTGGTTCTTTCTAGCAGGATGTTTGCAAGGATTTTGTAGGTGGTGTTTAGGAGTGTTATTCCCCTGTAGTTAATACATTGCTTTTTGTTTCCTTTTTTGTGTAGTGGTACAATAACACCTTCTTTCCATTCATCTGGCATTGTTTCTTCTTGCAAAATGTCTTGAATTAGCTTGTATATCGAACTGTACAACGCTTCTCCTCCATGTTTTAAGCACTCTGCGGGTATACCATCGCTACCTGGTGTCTTATTATTTTTGAGTTTTTTAATTGCCTGTATTACTTCTTCGTATGTCGGGTATTGGTCTTCTATTTCAGCTGTATGTACCTCTATGTTTGATGTACTTCTGCTAGATTGGTCATTCAATAGTAGAAGTACAGTTACAGGTTACAGGTACCGTAGTACCCTGTAATAAGAAAATGATTTTTTAATTTATTGCAAAGTTAAAGACCTTCTCGAATTAATTTGGCAGTGAGGGTGGTTGGTTTTTCTTCCTCGTCATTATCATCTTCTAGACTCACGATGTTATCTAAAGTTATATCTAAAGTTTGATCCATTATACCATGGTCACTTAATGCATCATCCATAACCAATCCATCCATATCATCGTGGCTAAAGGTATTAAAACCGTTTCCGCCAATTTCATGTGCCAAACTAAATATTTCATCTAGTCTTATTTTAATCAAGCAGAGAAAATTGGTTACACACATCTTTTATTGATAAGGGCTCATTTTCCATTCTTCAATCAATCATTCTTCAATCTTCTGAAAAGATTTTTGAAACTCGATGATTTTATTTGAAATAATATTTCAATTTCTGCTGATTTGTTGGACCTTTTGACCTTACTTGTTGAAAATTGACTACATTTGGCTGGATTGATATTTTAATTGCATCTGATTTACTAGCACAACTATCACGGTTGTTATTTCTCATGCAAATGCTACAAATCACAGCATCTACAAATTTTAAACTAAAAACAAAATTTTTCTGTAGGGGATATTTTTCCAACGTTTACTTTAATTTAATATATATATCTTCTCCTATAATTACATATTATTGCTTAGACGATAAACTATTGTTGCTTAAAGAATGGTTTATAAAATAGTTAAAAAATTTATTACGAAATAATGTATCCGTTACATACAACCCTTATTTTAATAAGTATTTCCGAAAACTGAAAATAGAGCGTGGTAAACAAATTTTTTCTAATGTATTTTATTACGTACGTTACATGTAATTTGCATGAACTATCTATGGAATGTAGTTGTTGCTGTAAACATAATTTGATCCTGATAACAGAAACAGGAACACGTATGACGGGGGTAGATAGTAGATCAAGCTAGACTGCTTGGCGTTTACAGAATTCTGAAACCTGACCTATCAGTTGGTGCATTACCCTAAGGAAATCATGATATTTTTGTTTGTTTCGTGTATTTTGCGTTTGTGAAAAAATGCAGTGCATAGTAGAATAAATTTTTAACCTATTAGCAATGAAAAACATATACTGTTTCAGTAATTTTTAAAACGTATTAGTAAAATTCATTTGCAACGTTTTTATTCTTTGATTTTCAACTCTTCCAGTTTCAGATTCAGTTAAAAACATAAAATAAATATATAACTATTGATTTTTTTACAATCAAAAATAACAGCTGAATAGCAGAAGATGGCTGTTTTTATTGTGGTTAACAACTCTTTTCCTTTTTTGCATTCTTAATAAAACTTCCTGTTTAGTAACGTGGTCAGTAGAGAATATCTTCAGGATTCTACGATAAAGCTTCATTTAAGTCAATCAAGTCAAAAATTCAAATTCAAATAAAGTCAAAAATATCGAGCAAAGTAATTCTGTTTTACGACACTTTTTTGATTTTTTTATCTGCTGGATATTTTTTATTTCTTTGGGCGAAAAATATTGTATAAAAATGTTCTGAACTATGTTCATGAAAGCATCCTACTTATTTGCTACTTCAAATGTCTTAAAAACAGATGCTCAGTCTACAATACCTCACATAAATTTAAAAAAATATTATTCTCTTTGCTATATATTCGTTTTTGTTATATTTGGTTCAAATTTATTTAATTCTTTACCTTTTTAGTAGTATGATCAGATGTATAAGGATTAAATACAACAGAATAAAAAAAGGCAATATTTGTAAACATATTTATTATCTATATGGAATTTTTGGTTACCTTGTATGCGTCTTTAGTCTTTTATGGAAGGTTTAATATCAAAGAAACTGATAACCCCACACCTTCATATCAGACTTAAAATCACCAACCAGAAAAATGATGGGAGTCCTTGTCAACTAAATCTGAGAGTATCTGATTTAATTTGTTGATTAAAACTTGTGGATTATTAACTTAGTTATGAAGATTATTTTTACTCTAGATACATGTCTTAGAGTACGATCATTTTTCTTGTATTTGTTCGAAACTTTCGATTCAATCCAGTCCTGATTTTTCTTGATGAATTTGAAATTGACGTTTATCAAATATAAACCAGTCCATCTGTCCTCCCTATCGTACTTCTATGACAGATCTTTATCCGTCGAAGTGTACTGTAAGATCATTCAACAGTAGCCTTAGTGGAAAGCAAGGGACCTAAAATCATTGATCACAAAATTTAATTTGTATAATTGATGGATTCGACCGTTACTTGATGGACATTAAGTTTATGTACCAATAAAACACTGAAAACTTTGTTTTCAAAAACTAAAAATTTTTTTTTTATAAACTCTTCACTACACCTGTTTCGGCTGATTGCCTTTCTCAAGTAATCTATTTTTGGCATGCGTTTACACTCAATAGTCTTTAATGAAATAGGTTGAGGGGAGGGGGGGAGAACTGTTTGTCTCAAGATGGTCATTCAAAATTTTATCTCTGTTTTTTTAATTTATTTGTTGATTTCCATAGATTCTAACAAAGATAGCTTAAGGCCTTTATTTTGAATGTAAAGAATTTTAAATTCGTCAATAAAACAATGATTATGATCTAGAAGGTGAAGTGCGTATGTAGAATCTGTTTTTCTATTATTGAAAGCCTTTTTATGTTCTGTTGTTCGTTTTTTAAAATTTCTACCAGTTTGACCGATGTAAGTTTTTGGGCAGTCGCTACATTTAAGTTGTACACACCACTGTGTAAGTGTTTTTTTTTATTTTGGCTCTTGTTGTTTTTAATATATTTGTCTAAGTTGTTATTTGTCCTGAAAGCTGGTATTATTCCTTTCTTTTTTATGTGTTTGGCTATTTTAGTTGATATTTTGCCTGTATATGTAATCGAGCTGAAGGTACTGGGTTTTTTCTCTGGTGGTAGAAATATTAATTTCAGGGCTGTCTTGTGTAGTTTTTAATTTAAACTTTTAATAATTGTTTGTTTGTTGTATCCATTGTTTACTGCTATTTGCTCAATGGAATTTCTGTCAATTTATGTAACATACTATGATAGGCTGCCAGTTTATGTTGTGTGGGATAGGATGATGATTTGTGTATAGTCGTGTCAGTATGGGTAGGTTTATGAAATACAAGTCATGTTTGTTTTTATGTCTGATAACTTTTTAAATTTATAAAAAATTATGGATTGATTTTGTTCTGTTTTTATTGTAAATTCAATATGACTGTGAAGTGAATTAATATACGTTAAAAATTGGTCGAGTTGTCTGTTAGTTCCTGTGAAACATACCAGTACGTCGTCTCCACCAATATAAAAACTGTTTGAATATGGGATGTTTTGAAATCTTTTTCTCTATTTGATCCATAAAAATATCTGATAGCAATGGGCTTAGATTATTGTCCATTATAAGTCCTGCACTGTTATTTGTATATATTTGATTATTAAATTCAAAGTAATACTGATTTATGCAAATTTCAAGAAGATGTAAAATTTCGGATGTAATGATTGGATTTGTACTATTTTGGTCTAAAAGGTTTTTTACTAGAATAAAAGTTTCTGTAGGAGGAATACTAGGAAAAAGATTTTTTACGTCAAACGAAATTAATCTGGAGTTGTTAGGTAGTTGAAAATGTTGTATATTATTAACTAGTTCTACTGTTTTTTATTGGTAAATTTAGGTGAAAATTTAGTGTGTTCTAAAATAATCTCTAACAGTTTATTGGACAGAGCTGTATAAAAAGAAACTACAGGTTTTATTGGGTGATCCGATTTGTATAGTTTAATAAAAGAGTATAATTTAGGAGGCTGTGGGTTCATGATATTGAGGTATTTTGGATCTGTTGGATTTACTATTGATTTTGAATTTTCTAACGCCAGCTTAATTTATTTTTGTGCTTCTGTTCTTCCTGGGTTTTGTTTTTTCACGAGATATGGTGTTAGCTATTTTCGTGTAGAAATCATGTTTGTTTTCCATGTAGCTAAATCTAGGAAACATCTGTCTCAAAATCAGTTAGTTATTGACATTCACATGATATGGAGTTGTTATTTACGTGAAGAAATCATGCTTATTACATGTTTGTTTTCCATGCAGCTAAATCTAGGAAACCTTTATCTCAAAATGAGTTAATTATTGCATTAAAGGTCCATAAAAATGTTATTTATATAGCAAAGATAACCGGCATTAAACTACAAAGTCGTTTCCTGAAATTCTCGACTGAACGTCGCCATTTTCAAGTCGCCAATATTTTGTGCTTTTTCTGCTATTCCTTTGTCGAACCTTGGTAAAATTTCATGGAATAATATCTATTGTTACCTAAAATGCTTACAAAAAGACTTATAATAATGACATAATCGATTACATATTAAAAGAATCCCAAAGTAAAAAAAGAAAAAAGTCATGAACACATATTTAGTGTCAAACAATTAACGGAGAAATATCACCAATATATTAGTTTCAAGACGTTCCAGAGACCCCATCTCTTCCCTTAGAGTCTTCTTGGTAGTTTATACACACCATTTCTTCACATAAAGGTATACCGTTGATTTTTTGCAGGTCGACCTTGGTTGCGGCGTCATCTGCAAAGTACACTATGCTCATGAAGTTTAAAGCTAGATTCCCTCCACGCTCTTTATTCTGGATAACTAAAAAAGAGCTACAAAATGCTAACGGATATAAATCTTAAGACCTTTAGACTATAGTCCCAATAAAAAGAATTATTAGAGAATATCAGAAAGCAAATCAACAACAAAACAACTTCGATTAGAAAACTTTGACCCCTACCTAAAAATTTAATCTCCGTATTGGTAAGGACGGTACAAGAAAATAAGATGAAAATTAAGAACACATCCACACACATATTAACATAATATAAATTTAGTAATTCTCAAAGGCAAAAATCAATAATCGATTTTATAATCACCAATAGAGAACAAGTTTCCGCTCCCAATAACTGTATACATAATGAACTGTAAATGCATGGTCTTTATTGATTGTAGGTCCTTGATACAATTGTTCATATATTGCATAGAACAAAATACACAACTTTATAAACGTACAAACATTTGTACTTCTAAATTATTTATATAGTCTATCGAGTTGCGTTTAGGAAGTCCGCTCACCTGTTATCATATGATTTTGTGGGGCACTGTTCTGTGATGCAATCTGATGGTTTGTAGTTATTTGCAGTCACAGAGTAGAGATGGACGTTTACCATATTTCTTCATCGTGCAGTCATATCTGCCTTGTCAGATTCTGATCGCGTTCAGCATGGACCATGCACGCTAGATTAAACCCTTGTGGTTTTTTCAGAGAACAAAACCCATTCTCGAGTATATGCGGTCCTGAAGTTGAACTCTTCTTCCACCGCAATCTTTGCTGATTTTGTTGAAGCTCGTCTGGAGTGAAGTGGGATATGGTTGGCAGCATCTTTGTCTTGATATATTGGTATATTTCCGGTCTCAATGATCTTTTTGCACTCATTTGTAACTGCGTGTTAATTTGAGTGTTGGGATATGGCTCAGCACTTAAAGCTGTTGCAAGGGAGTGGATTTGGCGACACCAGCAATTATTCGCATAGTGCTCTATTGAATATTTATTTTTTGTACATGTTTTCTAAGCCATACTGTAAAAAATTATTCCGCATTCGAAAAAACAAGGCCTAGGGCAGATAATCACAGGTTACATGCCTATCATTCCCATGATTTGCTGCATAGTTTTTGGATACTCTTTAAAGGGTTCTATCGAGGACCGTTTCTAGGTACTTTGGCGTTTTGTTGAAGGTGGAGTGTTGTGTGAAATTGTGTGTTAAATATTCGTCTCACAATATTGTTATTTAGGTGGAAACTGACAATTTTTGGGGCGTTTAGTTGAAACCTTTATTTATGGAAGTACTTTTTCACTTCGATTTTCCCTCCAAACTGTACCATAGGCCTTTATTAGGTGTATGAATGGGCTGTAATTTTAAATTTTGTTTGAAACCCTACCTTAGTAAAGGTGGTAAGTGAAAGAAATCGATCTAAACAGCTTCTCTTTGGTCGGAAACCGGCTATAATCAGTATTCGCATTTGGGTTATTTGTATTTTGCTTCTTGTCATAAGAGTTCCGTTTCGTAACTTTCTGAGTAACGTCCATGCTTTTCTGCTTGGTTTTTGTCTTGCTGCGTCCAAGCTATGAAGCAGTCCATCTTCTATTTCTTGATCACCAGAACTTCAAATGAACTTAGTTTGTACTTTTGGTTGTGTTTATTACAACTTAAAACAAGTGAGTTTTTTGTAAACACTGCTGATAAGGGTTATTCAGCCTACGATCTTGTTCAGTCTGGCAGAAAATCTTATTCATATAGTCTTCTTTTAATTTTACTTCGGATGCGGAATGGATGTGGTTAGGGTGCTTTAGGTTAGTGCGTTTTTGATCAGTGGGTGATGGTGACTGTTTGAGAAGTCGTCCATTACATTTTGTGAGACTGCTAGCGGTTATTTGTTATTATTAATAGAGACAAATTATAAATCAGGGTTATACCCATGTTTCCATGCATAAACGTAGATTGATATTTAGCATCAAACTTGAACGAGAGATGCGAGAGATTTATTAGTGCATTCTCATTGTCACTGCAACCTTTATATTTACACTATTCATAACGGCGGTTGTAGTTTCCCACGTATATAGATAGTCGAGGATGTATATGTGTGAGTTGGGTTGGTCAGCCAGGGCATAGCTGGTGATTGGCAGTATCTTCTGCGCCATATGTCATTTTCCTTTACTTCCCTATATATGTGTCTAAGAATTTTTCATTTAAATGTACCTAATAGGTTCTCATCGCTTCTCTACAGTGCCCATGTCTCTGATATACAAGGACCAGTTTATCAGGGTCTGGTATATTTTGCATTTAGTTTTTCTTGTGATTTTGTTAGATCTTAGATGTTTATTTAGTCCATTATGTTTTATTAGCAATATGTGTTCTTCTCTTAACTTCTTCACTGACATTGTTATCTACGGTAACTAGTGAACCTAGATATGTAAAATTTTTCACGCTTTCGATGCTATAGTCTCCTATTGTGATTCTATAGGTATCTTTGACCTGCCGATTCACTGGCTTTCATGTATTTGGTTTTTATTTCGTTAATATTTAGGCCACTGTTTTTTGCCGCTTTTTCTATCGCATTCAATGCTTCTATCCTCTCTCTTTCGCTTCTAGCTATGATATTAACATCATCTGCAAATGCCAATATTTGTACACTTTTTATTATTATTGTTCCTCTGGTGTTGATTTTTGACTCCCTTACGTGGAGTGTTACGTGGTGTTATTTGTCACCCAGGAGCTAAAGTAGCAGCAAAAGATGAAAAGATATAAAATGAACCGAAGTGAATGCGAACTAGCTTTAAACCTTATTAGTATGTTGTGTTTTGAAGATCACACAGCAGTTATATCTGCATTAAACGACGAACTACAAAAGTCAATGGTATAGTCCCGTATGAAGAATAGATAAATATATAGTTGCAGTTTATCTAGTAGGAAATATTATACCGATGAATTGGTATTATTAAGTTAAAAGATCTTAGATAAGAAAAAGGAGAATATAAAGAAGACGTAAACTTCCGTCTCATCGTAGATTTTCACATGTTCATTACTAAAACTTACAACTAAAATTTTACAAGTGCTAATAAATCAGATGATAAGTTTAGCAGATGATGAGAAAAGCTGGTAGATGTAAGGGCACTCTTTTCTCCTGAGATATAGAAATCTATCTCGAAGGCGGATGAACCAAGGAATGGTCAACGGCATAAGGATGCAGAAGGCAACGGGGAACCACTGCATTAAAGACTTCTAGAGCACCCCTAGAAATCATCATGGCAGTTAGTGTCAAGCATCACCGTACTAATCATGATTCTTGGATACCAAGATTTGGCAGGGGGAGAAATAACAATGATGACAGGGTTCCTTAGGTTGTTAACCAACGAAATCCCTGCGTACTAAAAATTCATAATTCAACTTTTAAAATAGCGACATGGAATGTTAAAAGAATGTATAAGCCTAGTAAACTAAGGAACATAGAACAAGAAATGATGCGACTTATTGGGAATATCGACATATTGGGAATAAGTGACATAAGATGGCTTAACTCCGGCGAACTAAGTACAACCAATGGTTGACTTTTCTATTCTAGTAGTACCGACAGCCAACATCAGTATGGAGTAACAATTAATGTCAGTAAAAAAGTTGCAAAATCATTTGTAGGCTTTATGCCAATATCGGAAAGAATTATGCTAATACAAATTATGACAACACATGAGAAATTAAACCTTATTTAGATTTATGCGTCAACTTCCGAGAAAACAGAGGAAGAAATTGGAAAATTTTACGATGACCTTTAAAAAAACCTTTAAAAAACATCTAGAGATATAACCTTAGTCATAGGTGATGAACAATGAACACTTTCTTTAAACAGACGCCTTTACACTTGGAAATCGCCAGCTAGCAAGGTCGATAAAATCGTTAGTTTAATAAACCACAGGTACCGAAACGCAATACAATCAGTGAAAGCATACCCAGGTACAGACGTTGCGTCGGACCACAATCCCATTGTAGCAATATTCCAACTTCACTTAAAAAAGATACAAAAAAAGCTACTGAAGTTATAAACTAAACATACAAAAATTAAAATCAAAAGACGTCAAAGCAAAACTGAAACAAGAAATTATTGCAAACCTAGAATTCACACCGGAATCAATTGATGGTGATGTAGAACAACATTAATTCTTTAAAAATGCAATTATCGAACCAAGTCGCAGAGAACTCACAAAAACCAGATGCAAGAAAGGAGTTTGGTGACAGAAGAAATCTTGGAAATGATGGTGGACAGAAGAAAGCAAAAGAATATCAACATAACTCAGTATCAACAGCTGCATAATCAAATAAGAAGGAAAATAAGAGAAGCTAAAGAAACTTATTTCGCTGGAAAAATGCCAAGAAATAGAAGACTTACTAAACAAATATGATGACTGTAATTTCCACAAGGAAACTAAAGAATTAGCGGGGGGGAAGCAAAACAAAAAACCTCAAGCATGCTATTGGACAAACAAGGAAACATTTTAGTGGAGACTGAACAAAAATTAGGAAGATGAACACAATATATCGAGGAATTATTCCATGACCAGAGAGAGGAAAATATATATAAAGACAATCAAAGTAAAGACGGGGGATCCGAAATAACAAAGCCAGAACTTATGCATGCAGTAAAGTCCATGACAAATAATAAAACTTCTGGTCCAGATGAAATACCAAGTTAATTTCTAAAACTGATCAATGAAAAAAAACATAGGTCTTTCAGTCCAACCACTGAACACAATCTATTCCACAGGAATCATTCCACGTGAAATGCTGACATCAACATTTATTGTCTACCAAAGAAAGTAAATGACAAAGAATTTAGTGATTATCGATCGATCAGTCTAATGTCACATACCTTAAAATTCCTGCTAAAAATCATCCCTAATAGAATACATCCTAAGCTGGAGATGGATATTAGTGATTCCTAGTTTGGATTTCGGAATGGAGTGGGCACAAGGGAGGCACTATTTTCTTTTAACGTGCTGACCCAAAGATGTTTGGGTGTTAATCGAGATCTTTTTGTATGCTTTATAGACTACAACGAGGCATTCGATAAGGTAAAACATGACCGACTTATAGAAGTACTCAAACACAAGAATCTGGATGTGAGGGATGTAACATTGATATCAAATTTATACTACAGCCAACCATCAAATGTGAAAATTGGAAGAAAAGTGTCAGAAGAAGTGGAGATAAGGAGAGGGGTCAGGCAAAGTTTGTTACTCTTCCCGTTATTGTTTAATGCTTATCTCTCTGAAGAAATCATACAAGAAGCTTTGGTAAACAAGACGGCATAAAAGTCAACGGAAGTTTAATTAACAACATAAGGTATGCCGACGATACAGTCATAATAGCCGACAATTTGGAATACTAAGAAAAATTTATGAACAGAATTGGCTATATTATGTTCAGAAACCGGAGACAGAATCTAAACATAATATAGCTTCGCCTATTTTTAAAATTTTAAAGTGTTTGTCCTTGTGTAGTGTAGTGTAATGTACAATTTTATACATTTTTGTTTATAACATTTTATTATTGTTGGATAGGCCACAATTTATTCTCTAGGAAGCGAAAATAGTTGAGCAAGATTTAATTAAGAAAACTGTGATCGATATCTGCCTTTTATTTGATTAAAGTTCATGTCAAAAGTCACTGGTTGTGTTTTTTGGTTATAACACGATTTATATTGTTTTGTTAATATTCTTCGTAATCAACAATATTATAATTTCTCCATTATCTATTGTTTGACACTGAATAGGTGGTCATGGCTCTTTCTAACTTCTCTATGTAACGTGTGATCAATTATTCATTTTGTTCGATTTTGTTTTATCTTTTTATTGCCATGTTTTAGGAGCACATATTATCAATCTGTCGTGATTATAGGTTTTTTGTTCTGTCAGCATAATACATTATAATAAATATTATTTTATAAAATTATGTCTTCTTTGGAAGACTCAAGAGAAAAAGAAAAAACAGTGGCGACGTGACAATGGCGACGTACAGTCAATAATTTTGTGAAACGCCTTTGTAATTTGATGCCAAATCTGTTTGCTACTTTAATAATATTATCGTGGACCTTTGATGTCTAGACTAGATTTATCCGGATAGAAAACAAACATGAAGTAGGCATGATTTCTACACGGAAATACCTAACACCATACATGCCACAAAAAAACAGTAAAGCAATAAAATTATATACACAACAAATGTAACTTTGGGATTAGTTAAAGCTCACAACGGTTTATTAAGAATTGATGTGACGCACATAATGCATACTAGACACACATGCATCAGATTCAGGCTTTTACTATGTGATCTATTTATTATTTACCGTTTGCATCACTTCCTCAATAAAAGTTGAATGTCAAATATTATTTATTATTCATCAACGAGTACGTCATTTAATAAAAAAAGAAGTAAGGATAAAAATACGTACCTATAGCATACAATATTCCAGAGCAAGATGCTGAATACATTTCATGTTTATCACGTTCAATAAATTTGGATATTTTATTGTAAATGGTATAGATGCAAAATTCACATTCTCACGTTTCTTAACTTTTGGCAAAATGAGAAACACTGTTTACTGTTAAAGACCATGGTATAATGCTTCATTTTTTTGTGTTATAACTTCGTTGTTATAGAAACTGTTTGCCTAAACTTTAGGGGGGTGTTTAATGAACATTGTTTTGTAAATTTAATTTAAAATTCAGACAATGTGAATTTTGTACCAAAATCTCATGGATAATGTTAGTTATGGTGCAAAATATTTGAACTTTGCTTTATTTATATTTTAACCCTAAATTAAAAACTAAAACCAAGAAAAATAAGATGATTTATATTGTTGATTTTTGTGGGTGAGAAATAAAAAAAAATAATTAAATTATTTTATTTCAATTTTAATTTTACCAAATCATTAAATTCAGTGTACAGTGCTATGATATTTTACTCTTTAAAACTAATTGTTATTTGTTTTGTAAATCAGACTTGCTTTGATTGTTTTACACTGTTTAGAATAACGTATTTTTAAACATTAAGAATGTTGACTTCTTCGATATGTTCACAAACTGACTCGGGTTCTACATTGTCGATGCCCCATCGATGACATTTTTATAGAAGAGTAAATCCTCATTGTCCCTCCACTGGTCCCCACAATGCTTCTTCAACAAGTCGTTGACGTCAACTTTCGTCGAGTTTGACAAAGGAATCAAATTTTTGTTCATGTTGAAAAGCAGTTTTCCTGACTTGGTTAAAGACATTGCCACGTCCAATTCTGACTTTTACGTGTACTCACCTCTAACGAGAACATTTTTATATTTAGTTATTGTCAGAATAATTATTTTGCAGGTCTCCAGTTGAAAATGAAATTGTGTCGGTTTTTTCATGAATACATCCTTTTCTTTCTTCCAGTCAAAGACGTCACTGTCTTAGCCAACCTTTACTAATTACGAATGTTCGGCTGTAATATTAATGTACTCTGATGGTTTCTAAATCACCTCTTTTTTTTTCATAAACTTTTCTGAGACTCCAAATACTCGATCTAGTGAAAGATAGCTATGACCTGTCATGGGAAAAAGAACTCCACCGTTTTTACATTTTTTGGTGCATGTTTAGAAAGCCAGAAACAAGCCATGGCTACGACTATTGAATTTTTGTTCTGGCCCCATATCCATCACTCACTAATCGCACAGTAGTAATAGGGCTTTTCATTTCTCTTGTTTAAAGTGTATCAAAATCAAACGAAGCAATTTAATTTTTTTTAAACTAAAATTTTCGTTTTTGTTTTCTGTCCAACTCGTTTTCTGTCCAAATGTAGGATATCACATTATCTGGAGTCAGTTTACTTTTAGAATTCTCTTTGACCACAGTGAAATTGTGAAGGTAGATTTGCCTATCATAGTAAGTTGCTTGATCTCATAATTTGGGCAAGGGTAGGTTTTTTGACAATCAAAACTGAAAATCAAAATTTTTGGGTCAGTGCATTTTAGTGATTCAAAAAAAGCCTTAGCACGTAATTTATGAACACGTTTTTCAGTCATGAGCTCTTGTTTTTCGTTGCCTTGATGTGCGTGTTTTAATCGTTCATCTAACTGCAGACAAGTAGAGCAAACGTCTATCCTAGGGGATCCGAGGCCATGATTGTACTTCGTGTTGAAAATTGACCTAAAGTACCAGTGTATTACTTTCAAATAACTCTGATCTTCTGTGAGTGAACTGATATACATTTTCCACATTTTTCTAATATTTAAATTAGCAGAATGATATTTTTTGCTCGTGTGTTTGGCACAGTAATGAGGCTCTGAACATTTAAATCTATTTATAAAATAGAAGAAGAAAACCTTTACTAGAAACCCTGTCACTTCCTCTGTTTTCTTTACTAAGCTGATAGGTTTCTATGAAACGCTTCAAAATACCATTTACCCGAAATCGTGAAACCTGAATTACACCTATGAACGTGGAAAGGCATACAGGCATCATGGATTTATCTTTTAAGCCTATAAAATGTTTGGTCCTCATAGGTTGCCTTTTGTACCGTACAGAAGTTGGTCTTCTTCTTTTAACTTCTACTGATGAGGAAAACTTCAGAATAAAATTATCTTTAAAAATTTATTAAAGTTTTGATGGAAACGTCTAATGTTTTGGAAAGGAACGGTAGGGCATTGAAATTGTCTTCCATTATGGTTACAACAAGGAAAATCCGGCATACCTTTCGCAGAGTACCTACACAAGAAAAGTATTGTTAGCTTTTTATTATTTTACTGCTAATGAGCCAATTAAATTTTTCTTGGTTCTAGATCGGTCTAGATTTTCTAGTAGTGAAAATGACTTAAAAGCAACTTTGATAAGACTAACCTAATAATATTTTAGACTACTAGCAACTAACCTTGCTAATTTAGATTTGTTTCGTTTCCACTTCTCGGGACTTATTTTCTTTTTCCTTGTTTGACCATTCGAGGGCTCTACTAGTTCATCCATTACACACCAATAATTTAGTTTATTAACTGGTAATAAAATTCGAATTATTTAAATCACAATCATAAAAGCGTTAATCAACCTTAACAAGCACACAGTGAGGTGAGGTTAAAGCCGTTGACAAAACATCACCAGAGTGACGACAATCACGTGATGCGCCCTACGCAGTCTGATTTTTCGAATTCGAGAATGTTAATTTTGCTGCAAATCATGTGTAAGATAACGTAACTTATGTTTCAGAACTTCATTTTCAATATAGTTTTTCGATTTAAAAATGTGAGTTTTTATTCAAGATATCATTACGGTTCGATTCGCCTTTAAAAGACGAATTCATTGATATACATAACTGAAAATATGAAAATTTGGAGAATGTGAATTTTGCATCTACACACGTCGGTAGATCGTTTGTGGTGAATCCCGGAGATCTTTCTAAAGTACGAATTGAAAGATAGTTAAAAATATTCGGATAGATTTTAGTAGTTGATGTTGAGTATTATTTGGATCAAGTCCTTACTTTAATAATTACTTAACTCTTGATCTCCCTGCATCGTAAAAGCTCGCTTTAGATCTTTTTAGCTCATTGCTTAGGGACGAGGTTATTTGTTCTAGATTTTAGATTCTAGTCTAGACCATGAAGCTGAGAAATGGATGATCATTCATTTAACATTAATATTACAGTGGGTCGGGCTCACCTAACATAAATAGTGATGTAAATGACTAAAAAAATACGATTTAGGTAGTTTGGATATATAAATAGAAAAGCTAGATAACTCCGGAAGATATTAAAGTGGATTTCTCCTAAGAAGAGAAAGGGAGAAGTTATGACAATATCGAACACGCAGCGTACTTAAAAACATGAAATTGAGAACGGAGGGCCGTAGAAAATTAGAACATAATAAGTATAAATAACATTTATACATAATGATTAATTACATAATAAAATAAAATACCCTTAACTTAACTAACTTAACTCCATTTTTAACCATTTGAATGTCAAATGGTTGGGATCTAGGTCTTAAAAATAGCAAAGATTGCTGAGCTCTGTGCTCGGTTAAAATTCTGAGAAATGTCCGCAGTTCTTTTAACAGAATATTTCAACAAATCCTTTTCCAGTCCACGTTGGTTACCTCTACGTAGTCCGTGGTATTCTATGGATGTCCGCTATGTAACTAACGGGAGGGGGTAATGGAGAACTGTTTCGCCTGGAACATCAAGAAGAAGCAGAACTAATCTGACTTGATAATGGCAAGTGTGACCTTCGCCAAAGGCGCTTCGGAACATCGCCAAAACAATGTTTTTTCTAAAAACCAAAATTTTATATATATTATATATATATATATATATATATATATATATATATATATATATATTATATATATATATATATATATATATATATATATATATATATATATATATATATATATATTGTTATGATATGTAAAATCGAGAAAGATATTGGTTTGTCTAAAATAATTCAAGATTCAAAAACATTAAAATAATTCAGATAATTAGGATAATACCCAACAAACATTTCGAAGAAGGAAAATATTTAAATTTTTGAATTACCTGTATTAAACAAAATGTAAGCTAAGCATAAATTATTTCCTTTGTTATACTATACTTGAGTGACCCGCATAATTTTAAGTGAAATCCCAAAGACAATTGAACCGGGTTTTTCCAAATACATTAACGCAGCGATTATAGACAATAGAAGAGATTTGGAAAGATTTTTTGTTAGTTTTTAAGAATTATAGAAAAATATTATTTGTAAATAAGTTTTATAAAATTTTATAATTATAGGTAAAAATTTGTTTGTTATCGGAATGAAAAAATGGGAAATTGTGACGAGTTTTGATTGGCGGAGATTAAAAAAGGTGGGATAGGTATGTAGGAATGAAAGTTTAGCTAGAATTTTGAGGGAGAAAAGATAGGCAGTTGGTTTCCAAGGGTGCAAGGCGAACGGCCGTTGTTCTCGGGTAGTTTCCCAGAGGTAGGAAGCAGTAGCAGTGAAAGTTTGTGAGTTTTCGTGTAGTTAGTGTATCTGACAGAAGCTGATCCAGTAAAATATTGTAAGTCATATTTTTCTAATTATATTCCAAGAGTCACTGTTCAGGCCAACGAGAGATTCAGTTTATCGTAAAGAAAAGATATTCCTAGAGTCATTTTTCACTCAGGCCAACGAGAGATTCAGTTTATTGAGAGAAGAAGAAGATAGCATAATGTGAACGATTCGTGCATTTGAAGGAGATCATTAAGGACGATATACTTGCAATAATTTGTTGTAAGATTGCTGATTACCTAGGGAGCGGCCACGAGTAAATAATATAGTCTACAAATAACAAGGATTTGGACCACTCATCATCAGAGAGAGATAGTTTTGTTTTCTGCATTTTTTTCTTTTATTGATAACACAATTTTTACACGTAATTTAGAAAGGATATAAATATTTTGATTAGGAGAATTAGAATAGTTTGGGATTTTGAGATTTCGATTAATATTGTTTGTACCATTAATTTTGATTGTTCACGTACGTAGAACAAAATTTTGAGAATTATTATATGAGATTTTGTTTATTGAAAACTTTTGAGTGTGAATTATTTCATTATTTTTATTTCAATATATAGTGTTAGATCATATGTGTTTTTATTATTCCGGTATTCTTTGGACCTTACCTTTCACATGTAATAGCATAGATATTGAAGCACGAATTTAACCCTGAGATAAAAGAATTAAAAATTGTGATAGAGTCATAATCATATCATTTAAATAATTTTAATTAATCAAAAAATTAATTAGCTAATTAATAGCTTGGCGCACCAAGACTTTAAATATCACAATAATATATATATATATATATATATATATATATATATATATATATATATATATATATATATATATATATATGTTTGTTTTGAGGTTTCCGCGGGAGCTATATGTGCTGTCACTATTTTTCCGGGTTTGACTCCGCGTTGTAAAGTGCTGGTTTTCTTGAAAACCATTGTTTTGGCGACGTTTCGGCAAGGTCTCACTTGCCATTCTCAAGCCTGGTGGATCTACTTCTCGTCGTTACTCGATTAGTACTGGTCTAGTACTCGACCAGTACTAATCGAGTAACGACGAGAAGTAGATCCACCAGGCTTGAGAATGGCAAGTGAGACCTTGCCGAAACGTCGCCAAAACAATGGTTTTCAAGAAAACCAGCACTTTACAACGCGGAGTCAAACCCGGAAAAATAGTGACAGCATATATATATATATATATATATATATATATATATATATATATATTTATATATATATATATATATATATATATATATATATATATATATATATATATATATATATAACTGAAACTGAAAAGTTTCCAGCTGTTCTCCGTGTGTAGAGGTTTACTCTCCGGCTCTGGAACTCACTTCAACAATGTATGTTACCTGAAGTCATATTTAATTTAATACTGAACATCATAGTTTTTTAACAATAAGATGTATAATCTTTTATAACTATATGTAATTTAAAGGGTTTTTACCCATGTATTTTGCTGGCTCAGGCATTTTAACCTAACAATTTTAAAATTTAAACCTGATGATGGACTGTTTAGTCCGAAAACGTTTGTTTTTTTAATGTAGCCCTTTTAATGGTTTTTAAATAAATATACCCACTTATGAAGACTAACCTCCTTTTTGTGATATGTGGTATACAGCCAGCTACAGGAATTGTTTTCCTTGTGGATATATCATACTTAACACAGGAAAAGGAGACGGGAAGTACAATAAAGTAAAGTAGTAAATTTTATTTCTATATTTAAAACAACATGTTTTCATTTACTATTATCTAATAATCAAACTAAAAGCATAAGTTACCGTAATTTATTAATGATTATTGCTAATGTTATTAAAATAGTTGTAATTAGTTAAGTAACCAAGAAACGACAACGAAAACTGTTGAATCTATTAGTCCAGGGTATTAATCTAATATTAAATTTAATGAACAATCATTGATAGTTGAGTATTCTGTAGATACCGCATTTTAGTTAAGCAACTATATTAAAACAATTTTTAATTGAAGGTAATTTCTTGGCAACATCGCACTTAACGAAGCCCTTCACGATAACTTTTCAACGAAATCGTATTCAACTTTGCAGATGAGTACCAAAAAAACTTTTAATTATTTATTTAAACACATAAGTAATTACGTAAAAATTAAATCTAAGACCGATTTAATTATTAAATTATCATGTGTCTTTTAACAGGCATCTTATAGTTGTCTAACAAAATAAAATAAAATTGTATTCTTATTAGAGAGTATCTAATACAGAACTTCAAAAAACAGAAAACTTTGGAAAATACTTATTTTTTTTTTCATTAGACTAAAAACAATCTGCAATTTTAATTACACATCATTCTCTATTTATAGGATTTCTGTGTGCTGTAAACGATATATTTGGTTTTTTTTACTTAATTTAAAAGTTTCCTTCATGTTGTAACAACAGATATTTATTCATGATCAGTAGTAATTATAAAAAAGTAATTGAGAGCATTCTATATTTTACAAATATTTATGTACTCCTGAGTAACTGTCACAATTTTAAAATGAATAACATAGATTTAAAAAAAAATATTAGCATTTATATTATCTGATTTACACTCTGCTACAAGTTGATATGCTTTGGTCAAGGGATGAGGATAAAGAAGTACATATTACAAGAGAAAGCATGCGCCGACATAGATTTATATTTATAGTTTATAATAGTGAAGAAACCGCTACATCAGTGTCACTTAGTACATGGACGTCATTCTAAATTTGCTTTACCAGATGAAACCAGATTTGAAAATATTGGCCATATTGAAAAAGAAACGATACTGCAAAAATGTAGGATGTGCAAAAGTAATACTATTTATTTATGTAAAAAGTGTAGAATGCATCTACAACTCGAATGTTTCGAAAATTTTCACCTTAAAATTTAATTTACATTTAAGATACAATATGTTCCTTTATTAAAAATTGTACTGTTTTCCTTGAAAATGAGAAAAAAAACTCTTTTTGGTTGTAAATTAGTCCTAATTTATGTGTTTTTAATCAAATCTAATAAATTAATTGTCAAATCTGTTTGTATATTAAGCGGCCGTTAATGGTTTAGTACTATATAAAAAATAAACTGGCCTCAAATTTACATTACTTACCTCAAAACTATTTTAAAGTTAATAATAAAATCTATTTAATAAATATATTCCCAAGAACACACTACGCCTATGCACATATGTATATAATCTGGAAGAATTAAACTAAGATGTCATATTTCTCTCATTAACATTCTTTTTAAGAACGTAAATATATATATATATATATATATATATATATATATATATATATATATATATATATATATATATATATATATATATATATAGACCAGCAAAAGATTAATAAGTTTACCAATGTTTCAAACTATTCAATAAACTTGTCTCACTATACACTATTGAATCGCATCAATTTATATCGTTACGGGGGCAAATTGATCTTACTTTCTCGCTTATTGACATGGGCGAAGCACACACAATAAAAATGATCCCGGTAAGAATTTACTAATGAAATTTTACATGGATGCCGCTACAGTTTAGTTCAATTTATAGAGTTAACGTTTAGTTAGTTTAGTTTAGTTCACCTTTAATTGAAAATTGTCCGACTATAGCATATTCCAATTTGTTTATTTTGGTAATAAATAAAATGATACGGTGTTCAGACATTGCAGAAGCATAAATAAAGTACAAGGAAACCATATATAGCAAAAACTCGATTTTTAATTTTTTGCAGATATCTCGGCGCGTTTTAATTGAGGACGGCAGAGTAGCCCTTACAAAAATATCTCAAGAAAAAACACTAAAATACTTATACCTATTAGAACAAAATATACAAAAAATACACTTTGTAAAGTACTTAATTTAAGAGCTTTAAAGTAAAAAGCATGTTTTATCTGCGCCGCAGCCACTGCTTTTTGAAACTGTCGTTCGTATATTTTATGCTGGTATTGGATAAATCCAGATTCTTTAAGACTTGTTAGTTTTTTATTAAAAATCTCAAGCAGTGGGTGTCCTTTTCTAAATGCAAATCTGAAGTATGCATAAGAATGAAAATCATCTTCTAATATATTTATGCGAGAATAAAAGTTTTCGTCGTCATCTACATTAGGATCTATATATTTAAGACGTATTAACGATTTAAATGATACAGCATTCTTCTCATAAGCAGACGCGTTCATGCAGCCCCAATATTCCTTGTATACAGGTTTACTGGACCAACCAAGGTAGTGTTCTATGGGATTTTTTGATCGTTTAAAAACATCAAGCACAACTGGGCTTGACACACATATCTTAAAATTAAATTTCAGCATATCTGTGCGACTCTTAATAGGATTATATTGGTTATCTTTTCTTATGATATCAAACATCTGGCTTTTATAAATAGTGGTAAATATCAAAACAAATATAAGATAGTTTATAAAAATAATCTTAACAGATTTCTTTCTGGTACGAATAGTAACAGTACCTTCAAAAAGCAGAGATAGGAGAAAAGATAAAATATCAGTGTCTTGTTTCTCAGGAACTAAGTAATCTGTTAAGAAAATTACTAAAGACAGAGATATAAGTAACGCAACAAAACATATCCACACAGAATTCTTGAACTCTCCATAAAAAATGCTCCAGTTGTTTGTAAATATTACTATTGGTGTTATGAAGACTATTTTGTCTTCTGTAAACGTCACAGTTAAATCAATATCAGTTAAATCAAGCTGGCCTAGAAATTTTGAAGAGAATACAGCGGCATATAAATCAAACGTACTATTATTAATAAATTCTGAAGAAATGCGAATGCCACTAGTACGTTCCTTTACTTTTATAAAATTTATCTTAATCTTTAAGTGTTTTCCAATTACACGTAACAGTTCGATATAAATTCCTTCAGTTGAACTTATGACAAAAGGTGGAGCAATATCGTATAAGACGTTGAGGTAATTGAATTTCCTCCGAAAGCCAGTTGAAATATTCTCTTTTATGCATATTTTAAAATCTTTTTGTTTTGGACATATGTCAATTGGCTCATAACTTATAGAATTTAAAGTCATCTTATAGATTTCATAGTAACTGTTTTTATGATTCCACTTGATAAATAATGCTCTAGAGATAAAATACTGCTCAAGGGTGCTTCTTATATGTTGGTCTATGTTCTCTACATAAAAAACGAAGTAATTTTTATGAACTAACATTTCTGATTTCTGTAAAGCATTTAGAATCTTTGAAATATTTCCCGAAACGATATATACGTCTGGAACCGTTGTTGTTGACATTTGTCTAATTGCACTTATTGTATTATAGAAAACTACAGGATAGTTCATAATTCTAATATGCGTAGATACGACATATACAAACTCTTTGTTCGGAATTACAGATTTAACTAATTCATTTATACAATTTTCTAAATTATTTACATTATTTTTAATAGAAATGTATGCTTCAGTAAAGAATATTCCACTGAACACCAAAAGCACGAAAATCATTTTTTTTTACTAATATATTCTATTAAAGAATATATTAGTTAGTACTACTAATAGTATATACTAAAACTGTAAATGTTGTACATCATAATTTGTAGCTAATTTATAGCCAACTTTCAATTAATCATTTCTAATAATTTCTTTCTTGATAAAAAAAAATCGCATGTAATTTATTGTAGGGGAGACCGACGCTATTCATAAAAAAGGAGACAAACTATTGTGTCAGAATTATAGAGGCATTTCTTTACTTTGTTCGGGATACAAAATACTCACAAACATCATTAATAGAAGACTTCAACCTCTCACGGCAAAAATCATCGGGAATATCAAGCAGGGTTTAGGAAAATAGATCTACCATTGACCAACTATTTACAGTTAAACAATTACTAGCCAAAGCATGGGAATATAACATGGACGTTTACAATCTCTTTGTAGATTTTAAACGAGCCTATGATTCAATTTTTCTTCTTCTTTAAATGCAAATCATTTTTCATTAATTCTCTATTTCTTGCAATATGTATCAGAGATTGTATGTCGTTAAGCCCTGTCCATTGCCTTATGATTTGGAGCCAGGACATTTTCTCGCGTTTCATTCCTCTCTTGCCTTCAATTTTACCCTCGATTATTGGAAGAACTGGTATTTTTCATTTCGCATGATGTGACCTAGATACGCCGTTTTCCTTTTCTTGATGGTTTCGAAAAGTTGGCGTTCTTGGTTTATTCTTTTAAGGACATCTATATTTGTGATTTTCGCTGTCCATGGTATTTTTAGGATACGGCGATAGAGCCACATTTCGAAAGCTTCTAATCTGTTTATATCCCTCGTTTTGAGTATCCAGCCCTCTACGCCATATAGCAGCACTGACCACACGTAGCACTTAGTAAACCTTAGTCTCAGTTGAAGATCGAACTCTGAACAAGTCAGTACCTTCTTGAATTTTACGAAAGCTTGTCGAGCTTGCTCAATGCGACATTTTACTTCCCTGTCCGATGCCCAGTCTTCAAAAAGCCACGATCCCAGGTATTTAAATTTACTCACTCTTTCGATGGACTTAGTATTCAGTGTTATGGTGGAGTTTTCAAGTGCATCCAAGTTTCTGGAGATGATCATAAATTTGGTTTTTTTGGTATGAATCTCTAATCCCATTCGCTTACTGTATTCTCCGATTATAGTGACAAGTTGTTAAAGATCGACTATGTTGTCACAAATTAAGACACCATAATCAGCATATCGTATGTTGTTGATCAATACTCCATTCACTTTGATTCCCATCTTTGCATCCTCCAAAGACTCTTGAAATATGGCTTCCGAATAAATGTTAAATAAAAGAGGGGAAAGCACACATCCCTGTCGAACGCCCCTTCTTATATGTATTGGTTTGGATATAGAATTGTCTATTTTTAACTGTGCCGTTTGATGCCAGTACAAGTTTTCAATACATCTTATGTCTTTTTGGTCTATATCAACTTTCTTGATGATCTGCATTAACTTGTGGTGTTGGACACGATCAAACGCTTTTTGGTAATCTAAAAAGCATAGGAACACATCCTTCTTCTGATCGTAACAATTTTGGACCAGCACCTGTGTTGCTACTATTGCTTCTCGTGTTCCCAAACCTTGCCTAAACCCGAACTGGGAGTCACTGATGTCCCATTCACATTTTTTGTATAATCTTTGATGTAGTATTTTTAAGAATATCTTTAAAGCGTGACTCATCAGGCTAATGAGTCTGTGATCCTCACATCTTTTTGCATTGACTTTCTTGGGCAGGGGAATAAAGGTAGAGCGTAACCACTGTTGAGGATAGCAGCCAGTTTCATAAATTAAGTTAAATATTTTGTGTAGTGCTGAAATTCCCCTTTCATCCAGTAATTTGAGTATTTCTGACGGGATTTCATCTGGTCCAGGTGCCTTATTGTTTTTTGAATTGAATATTGCCTTTTCTATCTCCTCTTTGGTGATTGAAGGACCAGTCAGCTGGTCGTCTGTATAAACTTCACTCATGGGTCTTTTGTCATGGAAGAGCTCCTGGATATAATTTTCCCATATATCAATTTTCTCCTTTTCACCCAGCACTATCTGGTTATCCTGATTAACTATGGTAGTTAGCCCTCGTTTTCTGTATATTCCAGCAGTTTCCTTAAGCTTTTTATGTAAATTATGGTCGTCGTGCTGTCGTTGTAAATGTTCTAGATCGATACATTGTTGCTTAAGCCATTCATTTTTTGCTATTCTTATTTTTGCTTTTATTTGCCTGTTAATGTTTTCATACATATTGCTGCCATCTTGGTCATTCTTGTGTCTTCGTCGTTCTTCCATTAGTAATAGTATTTCTTCTGTCATCCATTTTTGCCTCTTGTTATTTCGTTTGTACCCTAAGTTGTTTTTTATAATGTCTGTTACAGCACTTGTAATCGTATTCCATGTTGGTGTTAGATCTTCGGCAATGTTTGTCGTCAATATTTGAATTTGTGCGTTTATTTCCTTGCTTATTTCTGCTTGTATCATTGGGTCTTTCAGTTTGTCAAGTGCTATATGTTGTTGAGTTTCAGGCTTGTTCTTGCATGAAAGAGCGATCTTTATAACGGCCACTAATAGTACGTGGTCAGAAGGGACATCTACTTCAGGGTATGTGCAAGCTCTTTTGACAGTTGTGCTGAATCTACCGTTGATAAGAATGAAGTCTATTTGATTTCTTATTATGTTCTGAGCTCTATCGGCTGGAGATTTCCACGTATAAAGGCAACGGGGGTGGAGTTGGAACCATGTGTTGGTAACTCTCATGTTTTCTTCTTGACAAAATTGTATAAGTCGGTCGCCCCTTTCGTGCCTTGTTCCAAGACCATAGGGTCCAACTACGTCTTCAAAGCTGCTCTTCCCTATTTTGGAATTAAAATCTCCCATAATTATGTTGACATCATGTTTCTTTGTCAATTTAAGTAGTTCTTTGATTTCACTATAAAAGATTCAATATATATATATATATATATATATATATATATATATATATATATATATATATATATATATATATATATATAGATTCAATAGATAGAACAATTCTACCTAATATATTGGAAGAATTTGGCATACCATCAAAATTAATACGACTAGTGCAAATGACAATGACAGATACGTTTACGATAACGCATGGACTGAAACAAGGCGACGGACTAGCTCCAACGCTCTTTAATCTTGTTCTTGAATATGTAATTATACGGTTGACGGTGAGCGGAAATAACATACTTACAAACAAATGTACCCAATTAGCAGCATACGCAGATGATATAAACATAATGAGAAGAACAGTGAATGCAGCGGAAGAAATCTATGTTGAGTTGAAACAGAGTACAAAAGCAGTATGGCTAGCAATAAATACAAATAAACCAAAACTACTCATACAAACCAGATCAACATATCAATAGATTCACATACATAGGAATGGATCTGGTCGCAAGCAATGGAGAAGAACCGGAAATAAATAGAAGGCTTGTCCTGGCAAATAAAGCCTATTTGACAGTACTAGAATATTCATATCGCGAGACGTACACCGGAAAACAAAACTCCGGTCTATAAAACAATAATCAGGCCCATAGTATGTTCTTCTTCTTCTTCTTTTTCAGCCTTTATTTATCCATTGTTGGACATAGGCTTCCTCCAATTGCTTCCTCGCTTCCCTATCTTTTGCAATTCTCATCCACTGTTTTCCAGCTACAGCTGTTATATCGTCTATCCATCTCTTTTTGGGTCTTTCTACGCTTCTTTTTGTTTCTCGAGGTCTCCAGAATCTCACTTTATGAGACCATCTGTTGTTGTCTTGTCTTGCTACATGTGCTATCCATTGCCATCTCAATGTCGCTATTTTTCTCATGATGTCGGTTACTTTAGTTCTTCGACGTATTTTGGTGTTAGGAATTTTGTCTCTGAGGCTTATATTTAACGTGGCCCTCTCCATGGCCCGTTGAGTTAATCTTAATTGTTCTGCCATTTTTCTTGTTATTGCCATAGTTTCCAATCTATAAGTTGCAACTGGTAGTATACAAGTGTCATAGGTTTTTCGTTTTAAGTAAATTGAGATTTTTTGTCTTTTAAAATGAAGCTCAACTTGCTAAAAGCAGCCCACGACAATTGTGTCCTTCTTTTAATTTCTAGGGTTTGGTTTTCCTTTTCGTTTTTAATTGCATCTCCTATATATATATATATATATATATATATATATATATATATATATATATATATATAGAAAAGAAATTTAATCTTTGCAGATAAGTTAAATAGTAAACTCTTAAATATTGGGGAAATCTGCAAAAAAACTCTAATGTGTATCAATTATTTCACCTAACGTTATCGCCAAAGAGAATTTGGCTTCTTCAGGGCTGAAAGAGAATAAATTATAATTCTTCTTCTTCTAGTTCCATGACCGTTATCGATCGTTGGATATCATGTTGGCTACCATATTCGCTATCGTGACTTTATTGACAGCAGCTCTAAATAACGATGTAGTTGATTTTCCATACCATTGCCTTAGATTTTTCAGCCATGATGTTCTTCTTCTACCAGGACCACGATT